ATGAAGCAACGTATTAGAAACCATGAAACATAAAAACGTAAAAAACTATCCTGTTTTCTGGCCAAGTAACATTTTGTTTAAATGGAACCGTCCATTTCAGGCTTTTGGTGGCCAGAAAATCCACATTATTTACATACATATTTTATATGTGCATATTGTTATAGATCAAGGATGTTTTTCTCTGTTTCGTAGATTATGAAAAGGAATTCGATAACGTAAATATATTTAGGAGTTAAGATTGGTTGCTAAGGACATACGATTTAAATGAAATCGTAGGCTTCCACGGCCAGAGTCAGAATTATAGTTTATTCGTCTTCCGGCTTAGGACCGTGTCATTTGTGAGTGACCCAAAAGTGGGTTCATCTCGACGTTTCGCTACAATTGTATGTAGCTTCTTCAGGAGAAAAAAGAAAAAGAAAACAAAAGACAGGAAGATGGGTAGTTAGCAACGGTAACTCAGTTACTCAACGCAACCAGAGGCGAATACTAACTACCAAGATGGGCATTTGGTCACAGTAACTCAACTACTCAACGCAGCCAGAGGTGAAAACCAAATGCCAGGACAGGGATTCACGTCCAACAGCTCAGAACACTAACGCGTCGAGAGGCGGGGAGTGAATCCGACGATTACTCCGCTGCCGCTCTATTTATAGTCGCGGTGACCTGTCGTGTCGGGACGTATCGGCACACTTCGTGGCGCGAACGTCAAGAAGCGCGCGCTGGCCAATCATGTGGTTGCATCGTGGTAGCGGGACCGGACGGCGGCTCGAGACTGAGATTCCAGATGGGAGACAAGTGTATCCTTCCTCTCGATTGATATTATGGGGATTTTTTCGGATCTCTAGAGATTCGCGGATTTTCCTGGAATAAAAGAAGGGGCTCTTAGAAATAATATGGGTTTTTTCGAACAATATGGAATGACCGGTTTCTTGGCAGTGTTCTGCAACTGCAGAATGGGAGAAAAGACCTGATCTAGACACTTGTCTCCCATCTGGAATCTCAGTCTAGAGCCGCCGTCCGCTCCCGCTACCACGATGCAGCCACATGATTGGCCAGCGCGCGCTTCTTGACGTTCGCGCCACGAAGTGTGCCGATACGTCCCGACACGACAGGTCACCACGACTATAAATAGAGCGGCAGCGGAGTAATCGTCGGATTCACTCCCCGCCTCTCGACGCGTTAGTGTTCTGAGCTGTTGGACGTGAATCCCTGTCCTGGCATTTGGTTTTCACCTCTGGCTGCGTTGAGTAGTTGAGTTACTGTGACCAAATGCCCATCTTGGTAGTTAGTATTCGCCTCTGGTTGCGTTGAGTAACTGAGTTACCGTTGCTAACTACCCATCTTCCTGTCTTTTGTTTTCTTTTTCTTTTTTCTCCTGAAGAAGCTACATACAATTGTAGCGAAACGTCGAGATGAACCCACTTTTGGGTCACTCATAAATGAAACGGTCCAAACCCGGAAGACGAATAAACGACATACGATTTATCGCCAATCTGTATTGGAACAGCCAGAAACTTACAACGAAGTGGATGATTTCTCAATAAAAAGGCTGTGGGGCAAATTTGCCATTACGTAGAGCATTTCAAAGGCAGTGGCAGCATCTGGTAGGGGTATTAAAGGGAAATGAATATTTGCTAACAGCATCAGGAATCCCGAAGATACAGCGATACTGGTGGATACCATACTTGTATTGGACATTTTGATTAGAAGAATCCTAAATTTATATCATCTTTCAACACTGGCGTAACTTCAACATGACCTTCAGATACTGTGGAATGAGATATCCTGAAAGGACATTGACCATCTACTCAGATTCGTGTCTAAGCACATCAATGAATGTGTGATCGTTGCGCATTTTCATATTATTAAAGAAGAAAACTCATTTATCGATACAAAAATCATGTATAATTTGTAATGGTTATTCGAAATTTCTATGTCACTTACAATAAATATAGTTTATAACTTTTTTTTTTAATTATTGCAGTATTATTTATCTACCAATCACCATTGATAGAATATACTAACATTTAAATATTAGTTTGCCCCATACGGTAAATTTTAAACCAATAGTCAAATACAGATCTAATTTTGTGGACTCAAAGCCTTCATTCCCATATTTTACACTAACCGACGCAATATTTATTGAGTAATTAATCATTTCATTTAGAAATACATATATAGATCAAAGTATTGCGGCATGATACAAATAAAATAGTGTAAACTTTGGGATATATCGGAACTGTGTTTTAGATCATTAATAAAAATTAATTTTTTATTTTATGAAAAAAAGTAACTGAATAACTATACCTAGTATTTTTAAAATTATTTTCTGTCTATGTATTTGAGTCAGTAAATCTTTTAGAATGATATAAGATATCCAATAGTTGGGAGTATGTATATAAATTAACGCCAATCTGATTGGAATCAGGCAGCAACACTACGTCTACGTCTTAAACATAAAAAGGAAATAGATTTCTTTAAAAAAGCGAGTGAGGTATAACTGTATACAGTGGAACCTCGATTATCCGTCAGGGCACCGGACCAAGGGTATGACGGATAATCGAAAAGACGGTTAACAGAACATTAAAAAAAATTCATAGTATAACTCTCAAAATTTATTTGTATGTTTTATTTGACATTATAAGAGGGATTTATGTTAGTACAGTCAAATCAATTTGATTTAAATTATTCCGAAATTTTTATTTGTTTTATTGTTACTTCACATTTTGCAACAGCTGAATTTCTTAATCGACGTAAAATCATGAAATCTACCTTATTCGCTTCTTCTTGCCGAGAATACCACTTGATGAATTGTTTTATGTGCGATGCAGCTCCTCTAGCTTCTTTACGCAAATCTTTGTGAGTTGTAATAGCATAATCAACATCGCCACCATCAAAGTCGGCTTCTGAATCAGTTTCGTCTGCCTCTGTTGCCATTTCAACGATTTCATCGTCTTTCAGCAATCTATAGCCGTTTGCGTCCTAATTACAAATTAATCAATCGTTTATGTCATCTTTAGGCAACGAAAACAAAACAGTTGATTCAGCCATAACTTCATTTAAGCGGAGCATTTTCATCTTAAGTTGATTCAAGCCATAATTTATTCCAGGCTCTTTTCAGCGTTACTTTCGAAACATCAGCCCAAGCATCCACAGCATTGTCGACTGCGTGTTTTAAACTGTATGCTTTCCAGCATTCTGGCATTATTAATGATGTATTCGCAGGCAGAAAAGAGTATGTGATATTTTTATCGTCACTCTGCAGTATACCGGGTTTAGGATGGGCCTTTCCAAATAAGAATCGTCTTTGCTGGAATTTTTTTTGCAAACAAAATGAATTGATGACTAAATTTCTACTTATGTTCTCAATATAACTTATGTATGCACCCTGACGGTTAACAGAGGTGACGGTTAATAGAGGGACGGATAATCGAGGTTCCACTGTACTTCCTAGTTTTTCTATTATTTTTTTAAAGATTTTTATAACACTTTTGGTTTTTGGATTTATTGAATGTCTTTCTACAAGAACAAAGTTACTTTAGGTAATCACAGTATAGCCTTAAGATAAACTTAAATACATTGAATTATCTCAAAAGAAATACAAAACATTATTTGCTATAATACATAAATATGAAAGCAGTTCTTTTCCTTGAACATACAAAGATGTATCTTACACTTTTAACACATAGTGAAATATTTTTTGGAGCATTTTTCTATCCTGTACCTACTAACATATTTGTTATATAAAAATAGATAAATACTTAAATTCACCATATGTCTACCTAGTCTCCATGGAAGGATTGTCGGATCCTTCTCATTCTTTGAGGGATGTCCTCGTTTTGGCGGTTCTCTATGCTATATCATAGTAACAGTTTGCAACAGTTCTGCAACAGTTTGTCGAAATTTCCAGAGATCGGTAATGTGCAGTTTAGGTATTTCGAGATATTTAGCTGCGAATTTATACTCTAAGAATTATCCAGTGGCATGTCAATGGCATGTGTAATCATAATTATAATCCTTTTGTCTAAAGCGAACGTACGATCTATATAAACTAAGCAAAAGTCAGTTTGCTTAACAATTCCTTCCATGTTTTGATTATACAACCTAACAGCCTCAGATTGGAGTGTATCAATATATTGTTTATTTCCTTCGCCCATCTTTGGCAATTGCCCAGTTATCGTATACCACTAATGTTATATGATTATCCATTCCGTCTGTAGTTACAACTGTATCACAAGTACCTCCTCCCTTTATTTTTCATGTCGTTAACGATTTCTAGTGGAAGATTAGCATATCCGTTGACTCTTACATTCCCAACAGCAAAAATATTTTTTGAATCAAGGAACTAAAAGGGATTATATGTACTAAAAGAATTCAAGTAAAGTCCATGTTTTTTTGTGATTCTCTCAGCTAGCTGTATTACTGTTGCAGCTCCTATACCAAACTTACTGTATTTCTGGGTGACTGTTCAAGAATTAGTCTCCATTCCCCCCTATCTTTCGCCCTAGCTTTCCAATTTCTGAGCCCTAGATTCCTCAATTCATCTTCGACTTGAGTTTTGAATCTAGATCTTGGCTTGTCTCTCTTCCTGGTTCCTACTGGCTCTTGATATAATAATAATTGAGTCATTCCAGACTTAAAACTCATTCTGTATATTATTATCATTAGGAAAATCAGTCTCTAGACACTAGATAGTAAGATATCAAAATAAATATAATTATTGTAAAAGGAGGATGGAAACTGTTTTTGTTTAAAACTGCATCGGCAAAATTTTTCTTTTGCCTAGAAGTAATTAGCAATTTGTATGTTACAAAATATTTGATTGTTTTAATATCTAAATAGACATAAAATAGCAACTGTCAATAATATTTGTAATATATATAATGTACTTTTAACCATCAACCCTTTCTATTGGCGCTACTGTTTATCTGCAAGTCAAAGATAGCCTCCGGATAGAAGACCTCGAACATTATTCATAGCGTCTCTTTTATTCTTTTCAGGACTATTCAAAGGAATGCCTGCAGCACGTTCAAAAGCATCTCACGAAAAATGAGGTACCAGTCACTCTGTTTGAGGTAAGTCTTTAACGTTGCTTGCTTCTGAATAATCAATAACTGACTAACAAGAAAAAATGTTTCGAAGCGTTTTTTTAAAAGCTCATATCACAGCAGAAGAGGCTATATTTCACGATTTAAATATGGAAATAGAAATTTCATATCATTCATACTAAACTGAAAGAATATTTCATATCATTCATACTAAGCTGAAAGAATATAATTTTTAGATTAGAAAGTATAAATGTATAATACAAAATAATTATAATTTAAATGTAGGCATTAGTGCATCAGTTTCTTTTTTTTTTAAGTCACCTATTAGTTTGTTATCAATCGTCATCAATTTTTAAATTGGACTCTTATCTCTTTTGGAAACAGCTCGCATCTTGCTCCATATTCATAATGTATTACGGTCAACTTTCATTATATCTCTGATCCCTAATCAAATTTCTTTGAATTCTTCACACGAGTTTTTTCCGTTTACCGAAACTGGTTTATTAGAATTAGAATAGGAAAAGACAATCAAACTTGTGAGATCCAACGTCGCATAGGCTTAGGATGGGCAGCATTTGGCAAGATGCGATTTGTTTGAAGAAAAAGGTTTACAACCAATGCATACTGCCAGTAATAACATATGGTTCCGAAACAATAACTTTAACCAAACATTCTGCAAATAAATTGAGAGTAACCCAAAGAAAAATGGAAAGAGCAATGTTAGGAATAACTAGAAGAGATATCGTACCAAATAGGATAGTGAGAGAGAGGACTAAAGTGACAGATGTCACAGAAAAAATTGCACAAGCTAAATGGAGATGGGCTGGACATATAGCACGTTTAAATGATAATAGGTGGACCAAAAGACTCATAGAATGAAGACCTAGAGAAGACAAAAGACACCGAGACAGACCACCAAAAAGATGGATGGACGACTTGAGAAAAACAGTCGGAAATTGAATACAGAAGGCGCAAAATAGAGAACAGTGGAAGAACGTGGAGGAGACCTATATCCAACAAAGGATGCAAGAGATTGAGGAATGATGATAATGATGATGATGACCGAAACTGGTGACAAAGATTATTTCTCTCGAAGTACCGGAATATATGAAAGGCAACAGGGCTTCTGACGGTTCGATGCGATATTCATTATCCGCTAGATAGTAGAAAAGGCAATTGAATTCAATAAAATTGCGTACATGTGCTTCGTGGATCTTAAATTTGTAAGAGCGGACAACCGGCTCAACCGACAAAGGGTCCAATTCTCTTCGAATTGGTGATAAATGAGATCATAAAAGAAGTTAAAATAGCAGGAAAAGGTTGCAAAATGGGTAATAAAGTAACTAAAATATGCTACTAAATTTACGCTCTTAAGAAGACACAGTCACTCACGATCAACCGATAACCTAAGAAATGTAAACTACTGGCACACAAAGTATTGAGCAAGTTATGGACTTTAAATATCTAGGAGTCAACATTACCACTAGCAGGAACCTCAAGGAGAAAGTCAAAACACATACTAACAGAGCCGAATTGACATATGGAGGAGGCATTGACATTCTATGGAGGAACAAGCACATGAGCATTTGTTATCTTTCAGTTAGGTAGGATAACAACCATTCTATAAGTTCACCCTGGATACCCAGACTCCTGAACTTATTGAATAAAATCTTGTGATTTACCCGGTCAAACGCGTTTGTAAAGTTTGTTAAAGCTATCTTCAAGAGATTCAATAAGGAGATCAGTAAATATCAATAAATTAAGTTCAGTGGAGCGGCTAGAAAGAAATCCAAATTGCGGGTCGATAAAACAGCCGCCTTTTAAAGTTGCTGGCAAATAGTTAGAGACAAGGGTCTCAAAAACTTGGGAATATAACTTAGAATGCTAATAGGCCGAGAATTATCTCCAGAATTTAGTATTGAGGTAGTAAAGCTAGTTTTCCAGTAGACCAGGAACATCCCTGTCTTTAATGACAGGTTAAAAATGTGAAAAAGTAATCTAGAAAGTAAAAAGCTAAAGTGTTTAAGAAAATAAGGTGGAAGACCATCTGGACCTGGCCCTTGTTGCTATACAAAATGGACAGTTTTTCATATATAGACGAAATAGAAATATTAAATTGTGATAGGTTGATGTCTCCTGTTAAAAAGGTTTTATCCTGCAAATCAAATTCTTTATTACAAGTTTTGGAAAAGTATTCGGCAAATAAGTTTACAATCCCCATTCCAGAAGAGCTAGAAATATTATTATAGTGCATAACAGAAGGAATATTATTCTTGTTTTTTTTCATCAATCAGCCAATCGCGTCCACTGCTGGACATAGGCCTCCCTCAGTTCTTTCCAGTGATCTCTACACTGGGCCGTTTGTAGCCAGTTTCCCGCTACACGTTTAATATCATCAGTCCATCTAGTCGGTGGCCGTACTCGGCTTCTTTTATAGTTTCTGGGCCTCCATTCCATAATACGTCTTGTCCACCGTCCATCTTGTGTTCTAGCTAAGTGCCCTGCCCAGTTCCACTTAAGCGTCGTGGTTCTTTCGAAGACGTCTTGAACTCCTGATCTTTGCCTGCTTTGTTGGTTTGTTATGTGGTCTCGAAGGCTCACGTTCAGCATTGCACGTTCCATGGCTCGTTGTGTAGCTCCGAGTTTATTCGCAGATTTTTGCGTGAGTGTTAAAGTCTCTGCTTCATAAGTTTGTACAGGTAAAACACATTGGTTATAAACCTTTCGTTTCAGACACATGGGAATTGAACTTTTTAGAATATGGCTTAATTTGCCAAATGCTGCCCATGTTATGCCTATTCGCCTCTATATTTCATGTGTTTGATTGTCTCTGCTTATTTTGATTTCGTGTCCCAGATATTTGTAAGTGCCTGTTTGTTGTATGGTATTATTGTCAATAGTTATATTTCCACTCATTACGAGATTTGTTATAAGTTTAGTTTTCTCAAAGTTTATGTTTAATCCTGCTCTTTCAGACAGACTTTTAAGCGAATGCATCATAGAAACTGTATCATGTAAGTTATCTGCGATTAATACAACATCATCTGCAAATCTTAGATGATTTAATCTTTCTCCATCTATATTAATGCCCATATCTTGCCATTGAGTGCTTTTAAATATTGACTCTAGAGCTGCCTTGTCTAACTCCTCCTTACTGTTCACCCAAATCAACAAATTTTGAGAAATTTTTAACATGATCTTTCAGAGAGGATTCAGTTAGAGCAACATAATCAAGATAGCATTGTTCTTTCAGTTGTTTACATTTAGCTCATAATAAAGAAAACTCATTATAGTCAGCAAGTAATTGAGAATTTAGATATTTTTTATGCATTTTCTTTTTTTTATTATTATTGTTTTTTAAGCTCTGGAGAAAACCAGTCAGGAAACTTTTTTGCTGAATACTTTTTCAGGGGAACAAAAATTATTATATTAATAAAATATTTTTTCCATAGCTAATGTTAAAGTGTTGCTATAACAACTGTTTTGAGTAGATAAAAAACGCTCTCGAAGATAAAGTACAATTTTATCGTCTTCTACAATAAATAACTATTACTGGTCTAGACTCTGGTTAATTATATTATAGGAATATTTAATTCCAAACTAAAATCAATACTGTCGCTTGGCTTAACAGTTTGTTACAAAAAAATTTAGTTTAGTTCTTTAAATTTTAAATTAAATAAAGTTTGAACTAAACTTCAAACTTTATTTAATTACCAGATAAATTTGTAAATCAGTCGTCTAAATGCAAAGCCCGACATGTCAATTAAAACGAATTTGAGGTAAGCCCGAAAAAAGTTATAGAAACTTTATTTATGTTTGAAGTAACCTGCATCAATGTATATTATTTTTGTTTGGCTATTTCGACACCGAATAAATGTTGCCCATAAATCTCTTACATCGAAGTTATTTCATGACATTTAAATTTGGAGATGTCGGGTTTTTCATGTTATCGGCTTAGACATGTCATGTTTTGACCACAAACTCTTGCTTAAAATAGCAGGAATGGAAAAACTTTTGATATTTTTTATTAAACAAAATACATGCGACCATGGGCGTACACCAACAATACGAAAAAATACAAAATAATTAGACATTGAAATGTAAGTGGTTTTCCAAACACAAATTTTCAGTTTTGTTGTCGTCCGCTTTCTTTTCCCTCAAAGAATCTTGCAATGTTAGGCAACTGTGTTCTTTTGACTGTAGGATTTTCGTTAAATTCTTTCTTAAAACAAGATAATGTTTCATTGCTTTTTCAAAAGTAGTCCTTTTCACTAGTGCAATTTACTTATACTGTCCTTTTTCTTTGGTTTTAATGGTAAATCGTCCTACAAAACTGTAGATTTGATACGCAGTTTCTGTCCCCTTCCTGTCAAAGATTTAGCAGATGGTACTGAGATTGTTTTTATAAGTGGAGTACCGTTAGTAGTGTTTGAAATTATTACGCTCTTTTTACATTAAAACTTAACACGAATTTGGTAACGCTTTAAATTACCAGTAGAATGACAGTAGAAATCGTTTAAGAAAAATTTTTCTTGTTGGTTATATGTAACATAAATATTTATTTCCTTTTTTATTTTAGCCTTATATAGAAGAAATTTATACTACCCTAAGAGATGAGCCATTTAAAAAATTTTTAGAAAGGTAAGGATATAATTTTATTTTCTATGCTTTATAGCTTCGGCTTTCAGATCAAAAAATCATATTTTCACAGCGGATTCCATTGTGAAACAACCTCAACGAACTATATCATGTAGGGTCTATTATGAATAATACAAGGTGAAATTTTGAAAAATTGATTGGATTACATTAAAATAAATGCTCAAAATGTTCTCCACCTTCTTGTTGGCAATAACACAGTTTCCTATAAAACTCGTCCCGAACTTTGTTTAAAGTTTGAGGCGAAATATTCCGTATTTCTCTAATTATCCTTTCTTTGAGGTCTTCAATGCTAGTTGGTTGTGTTGCATATACTTTGTTCTTGAGATAACCTCACAGAAAAAATCCAAAGGCGTAAGATCTGGCGACCTAGCTGGCCACTCAATAGTACCCCTTCGTCCAATCCATTTATTGAAGAAGATTTCATTTAAGTAATTTCTCACCATTAAAGCATAATGGGGTATTGCACCGTCCTGCTGGAACCAAACAGTTTCATGCGGTAGGGTAGGATCTATTGGATTGGGATGTAAGTTAGCCAACTGAGAAAGAACATCGTTTCTTAGCATGCTTAAATATTTTTTCCGCTGTCAAATTACATCTACAAATATAGGACCAATATTGTGATCTCCTATAATGCCTGCCCAAAAGTCAACTTTTGAGGATACTGAGTGTGTGTCTCACGCATCCAATGATGATTCTCCGCTGACCAATATCTACAGTTTTGTCGGTTTACCCCTCCGTTCAATATAAATGTTGATTCATCAGAAAAAAGAATTGTGCCAAGAGTTATTACATTTATGTTAATTGTATCCATCAATCTTTTGCAGAAATCCATTCTACGATGTGGATCGTCCTCTGTTAGCTCCTGTACAAAAGTCAATGTATATGGATGAAGTTTTTCTTCATGGAGACACCTTAAGATGTGTGACTCATATTATTTTGACTTGCAATTTGACGTGAACTTGACGTTGGATTCTCTGCGACACTTAACAAAATATACACTTTCAACTCACCTTCAATAAAGTTCAGTTTTCTTTTTAATGGTTTGACATGTCCAAGTTCTCTGAATTGTGCATAAATTTTACAAACAGTACCTTGTGAAATATTAGGCAACTGGGGATACCTCTGATTAAATAAGTTTGCTACTTCAACTTGACTTCTACAATTCTCTCCGTAACCGATGATCATTAAAATCTCAATTCGGTGGGTCTCAAATTAGCTTTTAATTAGTATTTTATTATTTTAATGTAAAATGTCAACACACCAACAACTGATTGGTAACAAATAAAGTCTACAGTCAAAAAAAACCAACATCACAAACACACACACAATCCGCATTATTTACCGATTTAGATCAATTAGCAGACTATCTAGATAGTTTTTACCTATTTATAACAAAAAATGTTAACAGGGTTACTAAACAGACATTTTCCAATATACTGACACTTAGAGTAGAAGTGTATTGTCTGTATTTAGCTAATTTAAAATAATACCATAACACGTGATAAATTATTAATTTTAAAATTTCACTTTGTATTATTCATTACAGACTCTTCATGATACAGTTCATTGAAATCAGGTTGTTAAGAATCTTTTAAAAACATAAAAATATACAGGGTGTTTCATTAAAAATAAGGATTATGGACTATGCCAGACTTGCGTGGATCACCCTGCACATTTAATTTATGTTTAAAAAGGGCACATTTAAATTTAAAAGTTAACGTGTCCCAGAGTTTTTTATTATTTTCTATAATAAGGACACAACCAATTTTATTCCATAAGTGGTTTCCACATTGTATATACAACTGTTCTATTCCTTATTATCGTCGAAATGTTCATTCAGAATCAAAACTGTTCTATATTTCATGTTTCTAATACTTTTTTTTTCTTTTTTAGTGAAAAGTATACTAGGTTTTGTCAATGGAAGAATTTAGAATTAAATATTCAAGTAAGTATAACAATTTTATAGATTAATCTTTTCTTTTTTACTCGTTTAAATTGGTTCCCTACATTAATCTTACAGAAACCTGTGAGTGCCTTCAGACATAATACACTGCGCTCCAAAATTAACGCATAATTTTAAAATTCTTATTTTGAGTTGTAATGAAAAACATTTTGTTTGTTCTTTTCTGCTTTATGGTTGTTTTAGAACATCTTAAATAAAACTATTCTTTTTTTACAAAAAATGTATTGAAATTAACAATATAACATAAATCATAACATCTAAACGAACTGATCTAAACAAACTAACATCATAAATTAATGAAGAAAAAGTTTTTAAAGTTGAAGAAAATACTACTACCGTGTACTAGTATCGAGAATTGCCTCCTCTGGCATTTATTACTGCTTGACAACGATCTCTCATACTGATAATAATCGTTCTGATTTCTTCTTGATCAATTTGATACCAAATTTCAACCAACCGCAAAAACAGTTCATCTAATGTGTTTGGTGCATTAGGTAGTTGTCGTAGTCGTCTGCCTATGATGTCCCAAACATGTTCTATTGGGTTAAGGTCAGGACTTCTCGCAGGCCAATCCATGGCAGGAATTCCAACCTCCTGACGATACTGCTGCACAATTCTTGCCGTGTGTGGCCTGGCATTATCTTGCATAAGCATGAAATTATCCCCAATAAATGGTACAAATGGCACGGCATGCTCTTCTAAAATGTCTGTTATATACCTCTGCGATGTAAGCCGACCGTGATTTATTTTAACTAATTCCGTACGAGCCTCTAAATTAATCCCACCCCATACCATTACCGAGCCGCCGCCATACTGTACAGTCCCTACGGTGTTACACTGTGCGTAGCGTTCCCCAGGCCTTCTATACACTCGGTTTCTCCTGTCATCAGAAAAAAGACAGTACCTGGATTCATCGGTGAACAATATTCTTCCCCAATCGTCATTATTCCAATCAACATGTTCACGAGCAAAATTCAATCTTTGCCTTCTATGGTCTCTGGTCAATAATGGGCCAATTGGTGCCCTTCCAGGGTGTAGGTCGTTTTCGGCAAGTCTTCTTCTAATTGTATTTTGGCTGATTCTAAAGTTATAACGATCCAAAAATTCATTTTGTAGAGAAGTACTGGAAACAAACCTTTGTCTCAGTGTACGAAGTGTCGAAAACCGGTCTTGATTAGGAGTTGTAACCCTTTTACGGCCTTGACCGGGTCTTCTCGAGTTACTTCCAGTAACAGAAAAACGTGTTAACACTCTTGAAATTGTTGACTGGGTGACGTTAAAACGTTCAGCGAGTTAACTTGAGTGTATCCTTCTTCGCGAAGAGTAACGATTCTAAAACAGTCACTTTCTGACAAATTTCGATTTTCTTGCTGCGGGTGGTTCGTTTCAAAGAAAAAACACTTAATAAACTTGAAAAACCCCTTTAAACGTTCAGCACAACGAAATCCAACCCAACTAAATTCGAAATAAAATGAAGCACAATTAGCATGTTTTTAATTTTTTGCAAAAAAATGATAAAAACATCAGCGTTTTTTACCGTTCTTTCGATAAATTTTACAATATACCAGGGTTTTTAAAATTATGCGTTAATTTTGGGGTGCAGTGTATTTTTGTAATGTACTTACTAATAAGAAATATAGCGAGGTAAAAACGTATTAAATACCATTGAAAATACTATGAAAATGATAATACTTTGTATAAAAAGACAATAATAACAATGAAGCTTTGTACCTTTGAAATCAGTGCTTAATATAATAGAATAACTGTTTTCTCTTGTTTTTCTTTTTCTAGTTAACAATGAACGACTTCAGCGTGCACAGGATAATAGGCAGAGGCGGCTTCGGTGAAGTGTATGGTTGTCGAAAAGCAGACACTGGCAAAATGTACGCCATGAAATGTCTGGATAAGAAACGAATTAAAATGAAGCAAGGTGAAACGTTAGCCCTTAACGAGAGAATTATGTTGTCATTGGTCAGTACAGGGCAGGATTGCCCCTTTATTGTTTGTATGACGTACGCGTTTCATACGCCAGATAAACTCTGTTTCATTTTGGATTTGATGAACGGAGGTGATCTGCACTATCATCTAAGTCAACACGGAGTTTTCAACGAGTCTGAGATGAAGTTTTACGCTGCAGAGGTTATTTTAGGTAAGTCGGCAGTCTAAACGACTCAAATAGTCGTAGTACAAAATTGAATATATTCCTCCAATAATTTACATTTTGGAATATTCCAAATAAGTTTTCACTTCTGGTAGTGGTCTCCAAGAAAGCTATAACAACTAGTCTGGTCCGATTTTCCCAATTTTTTTTAGGCATATATCTGACATGGCCAAATGAAATATAAGACTTAATTTTATAAGCTGACTGAACTATTCTTTTACTGTAGAGAATATTTTTTTGTTACGTGTAAATAATAAACTGTCTGGCAGCTTTGAAATTAACCATGGACTCAAACAGGGTGATGCGTTATCTCCACTGCTTTTTAACCTTGTATTAGAGAAAGCCATGAGGTCGGTCGAAATAAAAACAGAATTTCTATCAGTTCAAGGTCCCAAGCTGTTACTCGCATATGCAGATGACATAGATCTCGTTGGAGACTCCATCCTATCCACGAAAGACATCTTCAACAAGGTGTAAGGAGCAACAAGTGAAGTAGGGGAAGTGTGCCTATGTTGGACCCCTGCCTATGACGGACCCCCGGCTGTAATTTTAAATAGCGCGCGGTTACATACACATCGCCGGTTGCCGCTTGCGCACGAAGTTTGTAGTTTAGTATTTGCAAAGTTTCAGACATGTGGCTGTTATAACAGTAAATTTGTGAAATAAAATTAAAATTTGGCGTTGCTGATCTAATAAATTTTTTTGGTAAGTAGCATTTTACTGGTAACATACGTTAAGCTAAGTGTTGCTTTTGTTTTGTATAAAATGACTACACTTTCTTTGTCAAATACTATACTTTGTTTTAGGTTAAAATGGTCAAAACAAAAGTAACAGAATTAAATTTGCTGCCTTGTCTATTTGCCTATGATGGACCCCTGTGTCGTTACCTATGACGGACTAGGGGTCCATCATAGGAAAAAGAAAATAAAATTGGACACACCTTCAGTTTTTGTTACTTAATGATTAACATAATATGTTTTACAGGGATGGCTCTACAAAAAAGGCAACAGTGGAAAGAGAGTAATATGCAACAAGCTTTAAAAAGCATACAAGAAAAAACTATGGGGTTTAAGCTGGCAGCAAAAACATTTAACGTTCCAAAAACGACTTTGAAAAGGCGCTTTATTAAGCATCAAGGAAGTATCAAAGTTGATTTGGGAGGACGAAGACCAATATTCTCCACTACTATTGAACAGGAAGTTGCTGACCATATTATTACTATGGAAACTCGTTTTTTTGGCCTGACTAGTAAAGATTTGCGAAAACTTGTATACGAAGTAGTTGAAAGAAACAATATTAGCCACAATTTTAATAAGGAAACCAGGATGGCAGGCTGGAAATGGGTCAGAGGCTTTTTAAAGCGAAATCCTCGAATATCATTACGCACTCCAGAAAATACTTCGTTGGCAAGGGCTCAAGCTTTTAATAAACCAAATATATGTACCTATTTTACTGCATTAGCAAATATATTAGATGAGTTTCACTTTCCACCGGAAAACATTTATAATATGGACGAGTCCGGTTTGACAACTGTGCAAAAGAAATCGCAGAAAATTTATGCTAGTAAAGGTCGCAAACAAGTTGGTGCTTTAAGTAGTGCAGAGCGCGGTCTACATGTTACGGTCGTATGTGCAGTGAATGCAATTGGAACATATGTTCCTCCTGCTTTGATTTTTCCTCGACAGAGAAAGAAAGATGAACTTATGATCGATGCACCTACTGGAAGTATAGCCTTCACTCAAGAAAAAGGATGGATGACTTCCGATATTTTCTATTTGTGGCTGCAACATTTTTTAAGGTATACAAAGGCTTCTAAAACCAACAAAGTTTTGTTGTTACTCGATGGCCATGGTAGTCACAAAAGTTTTGAAGCTCTCCAGTTTGCAAAGGAAAACGGTATTATTATGTTTTGTTTTCCTGTTCTCACTGTTCTCACTGTTCAACCCTTGGACGTAGGATTTTTTAGACCACTTCAAATTTACTACGGCCAAGAAATTCAATTATGGCTGCGACAGAATCCAGGTAAAACGGTGACTCAATTTAAAGTAGCCAGTCTCTTTAATAGAGCGTATTTAAAAAGTGCTTTACCATCAAATGCAATCAATGCATTTAAAAAGACAGGAATACAACCATTCAATCCAGATGTCTTCGAGGATTGGCAATTTTTGCCGTGTATAACAACAGATAGAGAAAATTCTGAACAAAACCCACTGCCAGAATGTTCTGACCAGAAGTCACCACCGGAACATTGGAGCCAAAATGTTTCTTCGATTAAAAGTTTATCAAAAAGCCCCACTGATCAGAAATCAACATCATCGTCAGTTCTAAACATCTCGGTAGAAGAGATTTGTCCTCCTTTAGCTGGAGTATCTCAAGTAATGTAGAAAAGGGGTAGAAAACAGGGTAAAACAGGATATTTAAATTCAACGCCAGAAATTGAAGATATAAAACAAAAAATTGCAGACAAAGAAGCAAAAAAAGGAAACAAGACGCCAGAAAAGTGAAAAGGCAAGTTCGTGTTTCAACTATAAGTGGTTCTGAAGACGATTGTGAATTTTTTTTTGTAGAAGGCGACTCGGACGATGCAGCTTGCATCTACTGTATCGAACTATTTTCGCATTCACTATCCAATGAAAAATGGATTCGTTGTCAAGTGTGTAAGAATTGGTGTCATACTGAATGTGCAGATGTAAATCCTCGACATAAACAATTTGTGTGTGAATTGTGCGCGTAATTTTTTTATTCTTAAAAATACCATGTGTAATATTTTTTATCGTTTGTAATGTCTTTTGATCTAATAAAATAATTTGGTATTTAATTTATTTTACACAAAATGCAACGAGTCCATCATGGGCGTACGAAAGGGTCCATCATGAGCGAATATATGCCCATGATGGACCCCTAACAGGATTTTAGTAAATTATGAATAAATTTTTAACATCATTTTTCTGCAAAATTTGAAACATTTGCCATATTGTACAAATAACGAGACGTTATGTGGTCATATTTAAAGTCTGCTAAGTAAATAGTTAAAATTATTATGAAGCTATTTTCGTAAGTGGACCATCATAGGCACATTTCCCCTAGGTCTGAAGATTAATGAAGAGAAGACGAAATATATGTGTATAAATAGAACGACACGAAAAGACAGAATAGGACAAAATGTGACGGTCAACACCTTCAATTTCGAAAGATAACAACGTTTTAAGTATCTGGGGGCCATAATCTGACAAATAATGTACCATGACCAAACCAAACGAAGAAAAGTTCAGACGCTTTGAACGAAAAATACTTAGAAACATTTTCGGACCTCACCATGACATTACCACAAACCAGTATAAGATCACAACCAATATCGAATTAAAAGCACTCCACAATTACGCCGATATTGTTCAAGAAATTAAATCACAGCGACTAAGATGGGCAAGCCACGTGCACAGACTGCATAACGAGAGAATTGTAAAACTGATATGGGAGGAGATTCCCACAGGCAAAAGACCACTCGGACATCCGAGAATGCGATGGATAACATCCAAGCAGATCTCCGGAAAATGAACATTCCATTTGACCCTAGGTTGATGGAAGACCCAACAAATTGGAAAAAAGTTGTACAGTCAGCCAAGACCCACCTAAGGTTGTAACGCTACGTGATGATGATGAATATTTTTTGTATTTGTTTACATTTTTCACAAGCTACTTATTTGCGACATCTCACTTTTTTTAATGTTTAAATGTTTTTTAAAAAACATTTCATAAATTTTGTAAAATTATCCTTTATTAAAGATTTGTTTCGAAAATGAAAATGTTTCAACGAAAGAAAAAATATTTTAAGACTTATATGACAATACTTGGCCATTCGTCTTTTTTCCTAACTTAATAATTTTGTCCCATAAAATTAATTAAGCCATATGAATCTTTTTATGCGAGTATACTGTAAAGTTTTTATTAATTCTAATTTATTGTTCTTATTTTAATTTATCGAAGGTTCAATATTTATAACACTCACAAATTTATCAAAGTTTTTATTACTACTAATTTATTTTACACTTAATAAGTATATACGTGCGATACAATTTTAACGCGAGCCCGGAATTCTTTTTGACTAACTGCAACAATAAAAATCATGTTATTTATATATAAAATGCCGTTATCTAGAAGGATTTGGCGATGCATCGATGACCTTCCATCCATTAGGTGACTTATTCAGCTAGACTAGAAAAGTCGATCGCCTTCTGGTAAATTCGGAGGGTCGCGCCGCCGGCTGCATTCTTGGTACCTGAAGTTGATAATCGACCCTTCTGGAGAATTCGGTAGTATTTGACCTAGAAAATTCGTGAATGAATAAATATGTTTACGGTTTTTATACGCCATAATATTTATGATCGTAACAATACCTTGTTTCTCGATACTGAATACTTCTCTTTTTTCTGGTCTTCTATACGGCTCGAAACGGAATGAAACAATATGGAGAAATAAAAATATCGGGAAAGAAATGAAAGGCAGAATGTACAAATCATCATCCAGCCCCATTTAGGCTGGCCTCCTAGATATAGGCCTCCTCCAAACGTCTCCAGTTCTCTCTATTTTTAGCTGCTGCAATCCAGTTTGTTTCTATTCTCCTTAGGTCGTCGGTTCATCGGGTGGGTGGTCTGCCTCGACTTCGCTTGTCGGCTCTTGGTCTCCACTCCAATAATCTTTTCGTTCATCTTCCGTCTTCCATTCAAGCAACATGTCCAGCCCACCTCCACTTTTGTTTATTGATTCGCAGTATAATATCGTCTACGCCAGTTCGTCGGCGTATCTCCTCATTTCCCTCACAATCTTTCAAGGTCAGGCCCAGCATTGATCTCTCCATTCGCCTTTGTGTTACCCTCAGTTTTTCGGCAGTAGCTTTCGTTAAAATTAGGGTCTCTGCTCCATAGGTCAAGACTGGTAAGATGCATTGGTTAAATGCCTTCCATTTCAGGTGAATTGGGATATTTGTTTTAAAAATGTCTCTCATCCTTACAAGTGCCGCTCATCCCAACGTGATTCGTCTATTTAGCTCGCAGGTTTGGTTGTCTCTGGTTATTCTAATTTCATGACCCAAGTATGTGTATTTATTGATTAATTCTACCTTGTTGTTATTGATCTGTATCTCTTCGCTGGGAACCATATTGGTCATCATTTTGGTTTTCTCGAAATTTATCTCCAGCCCAGTTTCTTGTAGTATGTCATTCAGCTCTTGGAGCATGTCTTTGATCTCTCCCAGATTATCTGACAGAAGCACGATATCGTCCGCAAAACGTAGATGGTTTAATCTTTCTCCATCGATGGATATTCCTTTCTCTTGTCATGTTAGTTTTTTAAATGCATACTCAAGAACGGTAATGAACAGCTTTGGTGACATGGTATCACCTTGCCTGACTCCCCTTTTTATCTTTATTTTATTAGTTGCAGAATGTAGACTTATGGTTGTTGTGGCATAGTTCCACTGTATCAAACGCCTTTTTAAAGTCTACAAATATCAATGCCAAGGGACGGTTATATTAGTTAGTTTTTTCTATCAGGATTGAATGTACAAAACAGACCAATAATGATATATGCGGCAGAAAGGCGACCCACACAGTGATGCTACTTCTGCTATTTTACCGTAAACAAGCTGTTACAGCCAGTGATAAATTATTCTTTGCAAATTACACACTTCCCCCTTAAATTTTTTAGTATTACTATATATTATATAGTTAATTAATGCAATTACACGGTTCCTAAAAATCGCTGTAATAAAGTAGTGCTGCCTATAGACCTTTTTCCAAGTCTTTTCTTTTCGGAGGTAACCATCTAGGATTTAGGTATTCCCAAAATTGCGGATAATTCCTTGTTAATTTATTAATAAATCGTGCCAAAGAATATGACAAATAATTATTTAGTGGTATCTATATAAAAAATCTTCAACACAAATGTAAAAGCTGTATTACTGTATGGCTGCGAAACGTGGAAGATATCAGCACCCATAGTACACCAATTACAAGTTTTCATTAATAGAGCGTTACGAAAAATCCTTCGTATATTTTGGCCTAACCGAATCTCCAATGAAAATTTATGGAACCAAAGCAACCAAGAAAATGTCATAAAGCAAATAAGGCGAAGAAAATGGAGATGGCTGGCCACACACTCCGTAGACCGCCAAATGACATTGCCAGGACAGCACTGGATTGGAATCCCCAAGGCCGACGGAAAGTAGGCAGACCTAAGGGAACTTGGAGAAGGACAGTACTGGACGAAGGGAGAACAATGGGAAAATCCTGGCTTGAAATCAAAGCACTAGCCAGAAATAGAGTTCGCTGGAGACACTTTGTGGAAGCCCTATGTTCCTCTTAGGAATCTTGGGACTATATATATATATATATATATATATATATATATATATATATATATATATATATATTATATATATATATATATATATATATATCTATATAAATACCTGTCATTGCAGCAACACGTCCTGCACTTTCCTTAAATCTTTTAACAATTGTCCGTATTGTGCTAACATATTTTGTAAATTTGAAAACGTTTTATATTACTTCTTGCCTTTGATGACTTAGAACTTGTCGTTTTTATTATATCACAACATTATAGCATCGTTATATCACAACATTATAGCAGTGCACAAAAGTTAGTGGCAAATTATAAGATTAGTATGCTTGTAACTGCTTTGTGAGTTCAGAGAGAATTAAGCTTTCCCCACTTTTCCGAATTTTGTACTACGCACCCAGAACTCGCGTCTCTTCACTTTTTGGGCTAGAGTAATAGTATTATATTTACATACCCCCACGGAATTATTTTAATGTTGTTAATTTTTTTTAGGATTAGAACATATGCATAGGAGATATATTGTATATAGAGATTTAAAACCTGCAAATATATTATTAGACGAACATGGACATGTTCGAATATCCGATTTAGGATTAGCCTGTGATTTTTCCAAGAAAAAACCCCATGCTAGTGTGTAAGTATTTGTAATTAATGTTTTTTTTTACAATTATAGATTGTAGATCCATCCATACGATCAAAAAAAAAGGGGAAATTGTCTCTTTAACATCAAAAATTAATTACTATTTTAATAGCAATAAGCCAGAATTAAAGTTTAAAATAAGTATATTGACGTTTCAGTTTCCACTTCAGAAACCGTTATGGAATAGAAAATGGCTTCAGAACAATGTCAAAAACTAGTTAACAAGTTAAACCATTGTTCCAGATTTCGCAAGCACGAACATCTCTTTTACAATATCTGTTTTTTACCTTCCATATTATTAACTGTAATGGTCTGTATCTCGATCCTCTCATGACATTGTCCAAAATATCCAAGTTTTTCTCTCTTTATAGAAGGTATCACTATACAGAGTGTCCCAAAAGTCTGGAAACGGATAATTATGTCGTAAAATGCTAATCATAATTGTACAAAATTTGAGGTACACCTATTTCGGGATACGGAGATTCCATATTTGATATTTACAATGTTGCCAGATTTGCCGTTTTTCTTATATTATTAGTAACTTTGGTTTTTCAAATACATCACTCTGTATATTCAGTCATTATTGGAATCTCCTATTCAATACGAGTTCAACCATATGTAACACTTATGATTTTATGTAATCTGGAAGGTCATAAATACATAAAACCGAAGTCTGGCAACGCCTAAATTGTTTCAATAAATTTTTTAATACTAACTATTTTCAAATACATTAAAACGTAACAATTGATAGTTTAGAACATTTTTAACATAGTTAGTATGTTATTAAGTGTACAAAATGTGCTCAATTTGTGAGTTGCCATCACCCTAATCGATGGTAGAAGGCGTCTACCAGATTTCTCCCTGATTGTCTAGAAATTATTCGAGATTCATTGATAATTCGTTGCCTTAGCTCTGCAAGACTTGCTGGTTAAGTTTTGTAAACTGAATTTTTCAAGTATCCCTAATAAAAATAATCTTTAGGATTGAAATCGGGTGAACGTGGAGGCCATTCAATCCTACCTTGTCTACCAATTTATCGTCCAGGAAATATCTCATCTAAATATCGCCAAACATTTACACCAACTATCTGACGTTAAATTTCTTTCGACAAAAAATGACCCAATTGAATAAGTTACTACTATATCTGACTATACATTTAATTTTTGTGGTCTTTGAGTATGGTTTTCACGCATTCAGTCTTCAGTGTGAATTTACGTCACACCAGTACCTTAAATTGTGTCGATTTACACTTCCACACAGTGTAAAAGTTGCCTCATCGGAAAAACATATTCTGTTAACGAAATTTTAATAATTTTCAATTTTATCCATCATTACTTCAGTAAACTCTAATCTACGACCAAAGTCATCTTCACTTAATTCTTGCAATAAGTTAATTTTGTATGATTTAAATTTATTTTTATGTAATAAACGTAAGACTGAAGAATGACCTACATCATGTACTTGTGCAACCCTGCCTGGGGATGTATGTGGATCTTCAACAAAACTTTGCTTATATTTGAAGTTTTGTGGTCATTGATAACTCGTTTCGATCAACCTGATCGGTATCTATCTTTTACTTCTCCAAATTCCTCAAATCGCCTTACAGTTTTTTGTACCGTCGTCTTATGAATAGGAGAACGGTTTAAAGAACGGCATTTTAGAGAAGCAATTTAAATTGTAGAATTTTTTTAACCATTACTACTGTCAATTTTAGTTCATAATTTAAATGGTGAACAAATGTCAAAATCACAGCATTCTCCATTTAAATGTTTAAATTTATTAAAATATACATATTTTGCACTGTTTTATGTATTTAAGATCTTTCAGACTACATAAAATCAAGTGAACATATGGTTGAACTCGTATTGAATAGCTGAACTCGTGAGAAATTCACACTGAATGCGTGAAAACCATACTCAAAGACCACAAAAATTAAATGTATGGTCAGTTATAGTAGGTACTTATTTAATTGGGCCATTTTTTATCGAAAGAAATTTAACGTCAGATAGTTGGTGTAAATGTTTGGCGATATTTAGATGAGATATTTCCTGGACGATAAATTGGTAGACAAGGTAGGATTGAATGGCCTCCACGTTCACCCGATTTCAATCCTAAAGATTATTTTTATTAGGGATATTTGAAAAATTCAGTTTACAAAACTTAACCAGCAAGTCTTGCAGAGCTAAGGCAATGAATTATCGATGAATCTCGAATAATTTCTAGACAATCATGGAGAAATGTGGTAGACGCATTCTACCTTCGATTAGAGTGCTGTCAACTCACAAATGGAGCACATTTTGAACACTTAATAGCGTAACTATTATGTTAAAAAATATTCTAAACTATCAATTGTTATGTTTTAATGTATTTGAAAATAGTTAGTATTAAAAAATGTATTGAAACAATTTAGGCATTGCCAGACTTCTGTTTTATGTATTTAAGCCCTTCCAGACTACATAAAATCATAAGTGTTACATATGGTTGAACTCGTATTTAATAGGAGATTCCAATAATGACTGAATATACAGAGTGATGCATTTGAAAAACCAAAGTTACTAGTAATATAAGAGAAACTGAAAATCTGGCAACATTGCGAATACCAAATATGGAATCTCCGTATCCCAAAATAGGCGTATCTTAAATTTTATATAATTATGTCTAGTAATTTACGAGATAATTATCCGTTTCCAGACTTTTGGGCCACTCCGTGTATGTTAAATAGCAGTGGTAACAATATATACTCCTGTCGTACTCCCCTAAGAATATCTATCTTTGTTAACAGTTGATCTTAGATTTTTATTTTGACATTCTGATTCCAATATTCTGATATTATTCTGATGCCACGGGTGTTTATGTTTTTAGAATGTTAATTAATTTGTCTCGTTGGATCCTGTCGAAAGCCTTTTCAAAATCAATGAAGACACCATGGTTCATATCTAGTTTTCTTTGCATAAGCACATTAATTCCGAATACTGCCTCTCTAGTGCCCATACCGTTTCTAAAGCCTAGTTAGTTGTCGCTAATTTCACCATTTACCTTTTTATAAATCCCATTATCAACTATCCTCAGGAATACCTTCAGCGCATGACTTATTAGTGCTATTGCCCGGTGTTCTCTGAACTAACAACTCTGAAATTGGCGTAAAACTAAGTACCGCTGTATTAATTTTGTTGTCTACGAGAATGCCTACACCATACAAATGAGATGGATCTTCATTACCAGAGTAGTACAACATTCCGTGTTTCGTTGTGCTTTTAGGTCAGTCCCTTGCCAGCATATGTTGCCACAACGGCCATGAACGATTGGCGATTTGACTCAGCTCCTAAGTTAAGTTCATCTGTGTAACAGACATTTTCACTTACCTCGCTGACGTTTAGTTTAACTACTTTGTGATTCAGTTCGAATAGCACTTATATATATAGGGGGTATTGATAATATATTGACATTTGCTACGGGTTGTTTTTTTTTTTTGTTTAACAGATCTTTAACAAATATTCTGGATGCATTGTACCTAAAAACTAACAACGTATCATATTGAATAAACTACTTGTAAAGCAAACGGTCGAATCAGAAGCTTTTTAAACAACATTGAATACAGTAAAATATCTTTTGAATGAGTGTGTTCTTATTTCCTTTATTGTATTAAATGTATTTGTCTACAGAGGAACACATGGTTATATGGCACCAGAAGTATTATCAAAGGGAACTCCTTACGATTCTAGTGCGGACTGGTTCAGTTTTGGTTGTATGTTATATAAATTACTCAAAGGGCACTCACCATTCCGTCAGCACAAAACCAAAGATAAACATGAGATAGATAGGATGACACTAACTATGGTAAGTTGAAGAATCATGTAGAATTAATAATTTTAAGTTTTATGGAAACATGTGTTTTATGTAGTCTTATACACATATGTAGCTAATAGTTAAGTGATGGTTAATCTAACGCATAACCTGCAGCGTGTTTACATTTATCCAAACATACAAACATTTATCCTCTCTTACATTTTACAGCTTGTGTGGCTTCATTCTGACTTTATTATTAGTGGAATTAAGTTTCGTTTTGGTCATATTCATGTATTATAAGTTTTTGTACTTCCAACAGGCTGCCCTATTATCTTTAAGAACCTCTGAAATGTTTTTCGAATACAGATTAAAGAGAAGTGGGACAATATACATCCCTGTCGTACACCTTTTCTTTTGGCCATCTCTTCCGACATGTTGCTCCTCCACCCTTACTTGTGGTATATGATGCTAATACAGTTCTGTGATGATTAGTAAGTCACCCTCATCGATACCTGTTGCTCCAAGTATTTCAAAGTATTTTAAAGGTATTTAGAACTGTCTAAAAAATAGAGGGGTGACTTTTTTAAAATTGAAGTAGGAAATAATTATGTTTCATATAGTGGTGTTAAAACCAAATTTACAAGGCGTTTTATTTATTGGTTGGGTACTAGTAATGAATATCTTTGAGTATTTGCTTGAGCAAGCATGATCATAAAAAAATTATGATTTTAATGGGTACAAATACAAACTGCTGACATGACTAACGTTATGTCAGTGTTTTGCACTTGGAGATTTTTTTAAGATACATATCATGATGCGGCAACGTTGCGAAAACAGTGACAAGAAGTGCAGCAAAAGTAAATTATGGTGCAGTGGCTTCGCACAGATTTTAACAGTACTAAGTTTTTGTCGGCATTCGTTAAGTAAATCATGGAACTGAAACAATTTCGATTTCAAGACTGTCTAAATAGCAGATAAACGCTTAGTAGTAACTAATACTTCGCAGATACGCCACTGAATACATGCCGAGCTTTCGATCTGACTGGTGGGGTAGGGAGTCTCATTACTCGACGAGAAAATAGTACATTCGCGCTATCTGGTATAATTTCTTCATAATTGGACTCAAAAGGTCCTTCTTCAAATTATGTCGTTATCTGTGCATGTGTCTGTCTGTACTTCTGCGTGTGAACGCGATAACTCTTGAAGAAGAAGACTAGTACATAGGTTCTTATTAGTCCAAGGAGGAATGTTATTGAATCTGGAGAGAATAGGTCAAAGGTCGCCAAAAATTCATATAACTTCGGATATGGAGGACAAGAGTGTTAAAACCTAATAGAATAGTTCCTTTGCGACATAAATTTTTGCACAAAAGGTCCAGAATTTACAAAAATATACGTTACTCAATGCGATATTATTGAATTTTACCAAGTCTATAGACGTGTAAATTGCTAGTATTCAGCAGTTTAAACCAAGTTGGATCCCTCTTAATTCGCTGTCTAATCCTTTGAAACTCCGTTCTAATGGTTTATTATTATTATTTTTCAAATTAATTGGTTAATTTATATTAATAAGGGCTAATAGATGTCTTAATTTTTAGAATGTAGAACTACCAGATTCGTTTAGTAAAGAACTAAAGTCACTTTTAGAAAGTTTACTCCAAAGGGACATAGATAAAAGACTGGGATGCAAAGGAAATGGGTAAGTGATATGTTTAATATACTTCTTAATGTCACTGATTTAAACTTAGCAATATCTTGGAAGCAACCTCAATAAACATCTAATTGTCAACAATTGTCCAATGAAAATAAAGTAGCGTCACAGAGTAATAAACAGTTTGTTTATTATTCTGGTGGTAGCGTATAACAAAAACTATAACTAGTACGGATAAGTATTATTTTTCAAAAACTAGGATGTGCCTTTGAAAACCGCGACCGTCTAAAAAGATACTAAAATTATTTAGTTTACATACATAAATACAATATTAACAATTGTCCATGTTCTACTTCTTTTTTTTTTTGTAAATTTTCAAACGTTATAAATTAATTCTTGCGTTTTGATAATTTAGAATTTATCTTCTTCGCACATTTTCATATTTTTATCACAACGTGACAACATTGTACAAAAGTAACCGGAAAGCTGTCCCCACTTTTCAAATTTTGCCAATTTTTTTTTTTCGTCTTCATAAAGAGGGAGTCTGAAATCTTCTCAGTCCAGGATGCCGCCTGACTGACCTTAGTGCAGGATTCGTTTTTCGTGCTCCCGGCGATAGTTCTCGAGGTACTTTAAAATGCCCTCTCGTCGCCGCGTCTACACCGAACGCCTACCTGCTAAACTAGACCCTCCTCTGTCATACAGCGATCCGGAAGCGGAATGGCCGCTATAAGGCCGGCATCACTTTCGAAGCACTACCTTCATTAATTCATTTTCTCATTTCATTCACATCCACACTCCATTCATCACAGGAGGCTCTGTCCTCGTTCCAGCTAGCGCGTAGAGACCCTTATCGCTCCTATTACGGCATCATTCCCAAACGGGCATTTCTCTCTTCCCACAGTCTGGCTCATGCATTCTAATTCATACAGTCGTACTCACTTTTCTGGTTTTAACCTCCAGCATTTTTTACTCTTACCTTTGCCATTGGTCCAGCTGTCTTTCTTCCTCTTATTTTTTCTCGATCACTGCACGGTTATAATTGTGTGCGTTAGTCCAACCTGATTTATTTTCAATCATTATCTCAATCATTTCTCTCACTGTAACACAATTGACACCTGTCTCTCTCTCCATTCTGTTCCTTTCTACTATCCATCTGCTGCATTCCAACATCGTTTGTGCCACAGTGTCCGAGTGTCCACAGTAAGGTTTGGGCTCTTCTCTTATAGAGACGCGAGGTTCATCCGCGAATGCGAAGGGGGTTGTACCCTCTCCGTATTTCACGTGCATACCCCGTCATAAGTCCAGGTTCCCATACCAGTCGGCCCAAGACAGTATCCCTGAGGTACCCCGGCCTGTCACCATATCTCTCTCCCCTCCATTACCTTCATTACCTCGTTCCACTGCAGCGTATTGAATGCATCCTTAACATCAATCATGTCGTCTATGCGTACTCGCAGCCGTCCTTTCATACAGTTTACTGATGCATGGAAGAAGACAGATGGGGCAATACTTTTCCCTAGCTTTGTGGAGCAGTATTAACCTCGATGTCCTCCAAGGCTTAGGAAAGGTTTGTGCTTCCAGCAGTGCATTCATGTGTTCCAAAAGCCACTTTCCACCCATAACTTGCGCCTCTTCACTGTCTTGGGCTACTGTACTTATTGTAAAACATAATTGTTCTCAAAACTTGACTTATTTTGTAACAGTGGATTAATTAAACGTACATTTAGACTGTAAAACTGATCCAAGTGAGGACTATATGACGGGGTTATAAATTATTTAAATAAGTATTTTTATTTAATAGTTTTCAAAGTTCTCAGGCCATTGGTGTTAAAAATAGTATACTGAAAATGGTAATCAAATGCGATTATTATCCACTGTTTTTCTAAAATCATTCACCCTAATAATAATTAACAAATACAAATTATGTCAGCTAAAATTAATTATTCTCTGTACGTAATTATATTTTGTTGTATACAATTATTAAAATTAAATTGGAACCTTAATTTGAATCGTTAATGTAGAAGGAGCATTTCACTATAAATCTATACTCAATAGAGTCCAAAATTTTGTTGTTCACGTTAATTTTACTTTGTAATGATTAAAGTGTTTAATTTTCTAAATAAATATCGTATCCAGACCCTTTAGTTGATTTAATTAAAAACTTATTCAGTATCCACATTGAATATAAGTGAGATATTGTTCTGAAGCTATATTTCTTGTGACATTGTAAATTAATATACTATTGTAACTGGGAATAAGCCACAATTAAAGATAAAAAATACCGTTTATTGACGTTTCACAATTTCCACTTCGGAAATTTCGTTGATAACATACAAACAGTAAATTAAACAAAATTTTGATTTTTTAAAGACGAATTCCATGCTATGATTTTTTTTCTGACGGATATTCTCAAGTTAAAGTTGATTTCATGTAATCGAATGAACTGTCTTATAAGTAACAGTCGTCCCAGGAGCGCAACTCAACAATATTGGCAATATCATTTTCAAGTCGTCTACTTTAAAATGCATAAATGTATGTCTGAATTGTCAATATAAAAGAGTCAGATTAAAATTAAATTATTAGAAGAACTTTTCACTATGTAACCAAAAAAACAAAATTTGTTAATATTTACTGTTTGTATTTTGAGAACGATTTCCGAAGTGGAAATTGAAACGTCATAAAAGTATTTTTTATCTTTAATTGTGGTCTTATTCCCAGTTAAACAGTAATTAATTATAGTGAGCATGTTGGATATAGACAATGTATACCAATAACTTGACCTTGCTTTGAGATTAGAGCAAGATTTGAGATACAAGGAGTCGGTTTTTATTCAAATTGATGCCTCTGATTTGACTACTTCTAATTTGCTTTGTAAATAAAAAGTAGTTTTTACTGGTAAATAGATCTTTACGGTTTCGCCATACAAGATCATTTATTACGGAACTGTAACGTGATTATTACTGGACCGACAAATTAATGGTCCATTTCAAACGTTAAATCCGACAAAAAATTAGGATTCTAATACTTAAATGACCGCCCAATTATTTGGGGGTGGTACTTCTACCTTGTTGCTCTGTCAAATTTTTGACCTCTAGGTTGGCTGTCTTTTCACGGTTTTTAGTTCGGTCTGTTTCAATTAACGCCATTTTCCCCGGCGGCAGCTGTAAGGCGTTTGATCGGTAACTTCATTTACACTACTTTTTAAAATAATTTTTTATTAAGCATCACTTTATAATGTACCTAAAATTAAATCAAAGCTAAATAATTATCAAATAGTTGGAAGTAAATCTATGATTTTCTTGGTTCTTTTTCACCGCTTGAGATAAAATAAAATTATTACTTACTACTTTAGACCACATGGTCAGTTGCTGTGCTATTTTTTTAATAAGTTGCTAAATGTTGTTAGTGAATTGATTAGTTTATACAATACTACCGTATAATGTCCATTTACTTGAGTTTTATTCACAAACTTGTACATATCTTGACTGTACCTGTCTTTTTAAGGTAACACTTGATAACATCTTTTCCATGATTGTGTGGTTCTCATATTATACTTTTTAGATGAACTGATGATGCTTTCAGAATACGAAAGCGAAACGTCTTCAAAATAGATAAAGTAGCCTATCAACTTTGTCTTTTATTTCTCCACCTTGAGACCGATATAAGAACCCACCACTCTCTGAGTGATCCTATATAATATCGTATCTTATATATATATATATATATATATATATATATATTATATATATATATATATATATATATATATATTATATATATACAAATAACACAGTTTATTAGGGTTGCAGTCAGAATATTGGCCGGGATGTTAAAAAAACACTCTTTTGACTTTTTTGTCGAGCTTTCGGAATGGTTTTATTCCTTTTTCAAGACACTGCAATAAGACAAAAATGTAAATATTTAAAAAATATCACAATTCTTCAGTGTAACTTACTAGTCGTTGAGATTATTTATATAAGCATTTACACTCAACATTTATAACACACATTAAAACATTAAAATATACAATTATGGACACGAATACATTATAAAATTTTTAAAATTTATTGTAAAAATAGTAGGTAAAACTTAGTTGATAGCATGTTTTACTTGTGTATATTAACTCATGCAGAGAATGGAAAGTAAACACTGTAATTAATATGTAATTAGGTGTAATTGATGTTATCTTTCTTTTAGTGAACTATGCTTTTAACCTGTCTTAATGGTATGCAACATATTATACATAGAGGTGTAATTTATGTACAGGTAAATTTTTATTTTATTTTTGGTGTTTTTCTAGTAAATAACAATAAATGTTGCTTAATTTGTCTATGTCTGACCTTTTGTTAATGCAAGATGTGCTAGATTTTATGAAACACATTTCCAAAAAAACACGTTTTGAAAGGTTCTTTTCTTTTGCCAAAATACAGGAATCATCGAAATTGAATTCATGTTTCAGAGTTAGTGCATGTTCTGTCAATGCACATGCATTGATTTTTTTGGTTTTTATATCACTACGATGTGATATCACCCTGCTGTGAAAATTACGAGATGATTCTCCTATGTAAATTTTATTACAATTAGTACACGGTATAGAATAAACAACATTCGATGACTCCTGTATTGTGAAAGGATCTTTTGTTTTTGTGTAAAGCTTCGATACTGTTTTCACATTTTTGGTTGTAATTTTTAAGCCACTAATATTTTTAAAGATGTTCATTAGCTTAGGTGTCAGAAATGGAATGTAGGGTAGGCAACCATAAGTTATTTTAGATGGTAATATTGATGCGTTATGTGTCAATGTCATTTGTCGGATCTCATTGTTATGAAAATTTTGGTTGACAGAAACTTGTGAAGGAAAAGGAGAACCGAAAATGAGTTTATTTAACAGTCCTATGGGATAAGAATTCTCTTGTAGTATGGATCTCAACTTTTTTAGTCCCTTGTCCCTGAATTCTATGTGTGACAAGTTGATAACCCTCGTTTTTAAAGCCAAAACCAAATTTGTTTTCATCTTAGGCGGATGTTGAGAATAAAAGTTTATGAAACGGTTACTAAAACAAGGTTTACGATACCACTCCGTCCTTAGTATGCCATCATTGCCACGATGGATTAGCATGTCTAAAAAAGGAATCATATTATCAGCCTCTCTCTCAACCGTAAACTTTAGGTGTTCACATTGGGCGTTAAAAGTGTTTAAAACATCAGTTACCTTGTTTTCAGGGACCGATAAAATCAAATCATCTACATAACGTTTAATAAATGGTATGTGAAAAGGTATGTTTTCTTTACACGTTGTTATAAGTTCATCCAAAACAAAATTACATAGTATGGGGGATATTTTGCTGCCCATTGGAGTGCCAAAAATTTGTTTAAAAAAATTACCATTGAATAAAAAGATGTTAGAATCAAATATAAATGTTAACATTCTTATGAAATCATCTAAACTGATCTTAGTATGTGGAGAGATGTTGTTCCAGTTATTTTTAATGCTGTTAAGAATAGCATCTAGTGGTAAGTTTGTAAACAGTGACACAACATCTAAACTAATCAATATGTAATTATTCGGAACTTTAACATTGTTAATGAAGTTACTAAATGAAAAAGAATCTCTAATATAGAATTCATTGGATTCGTTGTAGGAAATTGTGAGAATATCTGTAAGGTGTTTAGCAAGTTTACTATTGGGAGCATCAATGGAAGATACAATAGGCCTCATTGAAATAGTGGGTTTATGAACTTTTGGCAATGTATAAAACCTGGGTGCAACTGCATTGTAAATTTTCAAGGATTTTGCAACTTCTGTTGTTATGGATTTAGAAGCAGCTAAATCCGAAACCAGCTTGTTCGCCTTTTGTTGGAGGGTGCACACCGGACTGTTCTTAAGTTTTATGTAACTTTTTGTGTCATTTAATAAACTATTACTTTTTTCAATGTAATCATTTTTATACATTGCCACTGTTACATTCCCTTTGTCACTCCTAACAATGTAAATGTCTGGATTAGATTTCAAAAATTGTTTACACTCATTGTATATTGTGTTCAAAAAATGTCCTTCTTTACTTGTTTTGTGTAAAAAGTTAGTGATAACATTAGTGCTTTGAGATCTCGCAATATCCTTCTCTTGAGGTTCTAGACCAGAAATAAGAAACTCAATATCTGAGAGAAGAGAAGACATTTTAAAATCTCTAGCACTAGGAAATAGGCAAAACTTTGGACCGAAAGACAAAAGTTTTTTAACATTGTATGGAAAAGTAATGTCAGTTAGATTTTTGAACCATTTTTCTTGAAATGTTATTGTTGAAAATTGATCAACTTTTATTTTGTTAAATTTTTTGATGTTATTATTTTTAATTTGAAAGAAAATTTTATTGTATTTAATTTTTTGCCTTCTATAGAATTCTTGTAGTAAAGGAGCAGGTAAATGCTGCTCTAATGTATTTTTTAGTTGATGTAACTTCTTTTCTGTGTATGTAATATCATTTATTGTTACAGAGATTTCTAAATTTAAGACTTTGGTTTTTAAATTTGAATTAAAGTTTTGAATTTTACTACCTAATTTACCTCCTTTATGATGTAACAAGTTATTGATGTTAAACTTTCCATTCTCTATGTGTGCAGGAAAACAAAGATTTTTTCTACATTTCAGAAGGAAAATTCTTCTGTTGTTGAGTGATGCAAGCTTGATGTTGAAATTGGCCCATTGTTTTAGGAAATCTACGCTAGCAGAACCATATCCTCTCCTGATGTTCTCAAAAAACCCCATCGTGTAAATACAAGAAATACTGGATAAATACTTGTTTATTCTATACCGTGTACTAATTGTAATAAAATTTACATGGGAGAATCATCTCGTAATTTTCACAGCAGGGTGATATCACATCGTAGGTGATATAAAAACCAAAAAAATCAATGCATGTGCATTGACAGAACATGCACTAACTCTGAAACATGAATTCAATTTCGATGATTCCTGTATTTTGGCAAAAGAAAAGAACCTTTCAAAACGTGTTTTTTTGGAAATGTGTTTCATAAAATCTAGCACATCTTGCATTAACAAAAGGTCAGACATAGACAAATTGAGCAACATTTATTGTTATTTACTAGAAAAACACCAAAAATAAAATAAAAATTTACCTGTACATAAATTACACCTCTATGTATAATATGTTGCATACCATTAAGACAGGTTTAAAAAGCATAGTTCAAAGATAACATCAATTACACCTAATTACATATTAATTACAGTGTTTACTTTCCATTCTCTGCATGAGTTAATATACACAAGTAAAACATGCTATCAACCAAGTTTTACTTACTATTTTTACAATAAATTTTAAAAATTTTATAATGTATTCTGTCCATAATTGTATATTTTAATGTTTTAATGTGTGTTATAAATGTTGAGTGTAAATGCTTATATAAATAATCTCAACGACTAGTAAGTTACACTGAAGAATTGTGATATTTTTTAAATATTTACATTTTTGTCTTATTACAGTGTCTTGAAAAAGGAATAAAACCATTCCGAAAGCTCGACAAAAAAGTCAAAAGAGTGTTTTTTTAACATCCCGGCCAATATTTTGACTGCAACCCTAATAAACTGTGTTATTTGTTTTATATCGACAGTCAATAATATCCAGTATTTCTTATATATAAACTTTTGCAATTTATTTCTATTTTAGATCGGAAGAAGTAAAAGAACACCCATTTTTCGCTGGTATAGATTGGCAACAAGTTTACTTACAGAAATACACTCCTCCTTTGATTCCCCCCAGAGGGGAAGTGAACGCAGCCGACGCCTTCGATATCGGTTCTTTTGATGAAGAAGACACGAAAGGCATCAAATTGACCGATGCCGATCAGGAGCTGTACAAAAATTTTCCACTTGTGATATCTGAACGATGGCAGAACGAAGTAGCAGAAACAGTATTTGAAACAGTCAATTTTGAGGCTGATAAGCAAGAGCACAAGAAGAAGGCAAAACAGAAGAAGCTCTACGATTTAGATGAAAAAGGTAAATAAAAAATATTTGTTGAATTATTTCTACATTAAAGAGAAAATTTGGAATTAATTTTTTTACTTGAGTTTATGCGCTTCGCATTATTTCTTTTAAACTCGATCAACATGAAGGTTACACGACGTTTACCTGTCAATATTTTCGGTTTTCAAATTATAATTGAGTCACAATTAAGTTAAATTGTTTAAAAATAAGATGTAATGTGTAAATCATGGACGTATAAACACAGATGGACTCAGTTATTTACATAAAATTGTGAAGTCAAAATTATTTGAATAGGTCACATTCTCAGCACCTTCAACTGTTGTCACGTTTTGTTTTAAAATTTCTTATTCGCGAGTCGCTGTAAATATTACTGCCATATTTTATACTCTACAGGTGCTATCAAACCAAAATAATAATTTATTGGTTAGATTAATATATATTTAATTGTAATCAAAATATCAAGTGTGCACATAGTGTGCATTATCATTTAATAATAACGTATAATTTAGATACCAATCAATTATTTTATATGTAGAAGCACTGAAAACTATTTATAAATGCCAACGGTTGTTTACATCTCTCTGTGTTATGGATCTACGTCAAACTTCAAATGCTGTTCCATGTTTGTTTACTTTTTAGTAAAAGTTGTTTTTCGATATTTTGGCTGTATTTTGAGTGATATTTGTGAAAAGTGAAATAAAATAAACGAAATATTTACATCCCGATCTTTTATTTCATTTGTAAGTACATAAAATTTACATTATTTAAGATGAGGAAATGAGGAAGCGTGTTTGTTTACATTTTAATACGCCTACCATTGGGTTTATTCATGTTCATTAATGTATTAAATAAGATATAACTTCATGAAATTAGTAGACATTTTTAAATTGTAAGTAGACATCATCTGATTAAAAAAGATCTATTTAGTACCTTTTTAATTTAATATTGCTCATGGATGCAAATAAATTAGTGAAATGAATAAAACTCATTTATTTTTCTATGTAGGTTTCCAAATAATATTGATGATTGAACTATTTTGGTAGCAAATTTAGGAGAAAACATAAAGTTTTTTATTGTAGCATTATTTTTATACCTATTAAAAATTAACTTGAATTCAACAATATTTTATTGTATTAATTTTTAAGCAAATAAAATTGTATTTTAATTTTTCTATAAAGGACGTGATTTGTTAATAGTTAAACTCTCGTTCTTTTAAATTCTTTGAACGTGTTTTTTTATACATTATTACTACTTCCAATTTTTAAAATCTGAATAATTACTCACGAGTAATAATTTAAGCACGCTTATGCTCATTGCGGAAGCATCACATTCTATCGAAGCTCAAAACATTGTGTGTTAAAGGTATCTTATTGCTGTGTCCATCTATGTTTATACGTCCATGGTGTAAATATATACCAATTCTGCTACTGCCATAAGTAGTCTATGGATATCTGACAGTTTGTTCTCATATTTTAACAGAACTCTCCGCCATATATAAAGTGTCGATTCGTCTAGCATTTAGTTATCTTAGAATAAGCTGAGTGTGAAGATCTTGTCATTAAGCATGTCTTAGTTAGCTCTCGATTCTAATAGATGAGATAACCTTTCTTGGAGGCATCTCTTTTATTTCCCACCCCAGCTTTTAACTGAAGTCTAAGTAAGGCTTATGCAATTATTTGAGTCAAAATTTATTTGGATAAGTGTCTTTTTATGGTGTACTTGGTTTACAAATTATTTGATCCTCCTGGGCTAAAGATCCTCCTTCAACAAACACCTTACTCAGTATCTTTAACAAACGTGAATCTTCTAACATTTTTGTAAAGAGAGCATTTTTGGAAATTATACAAAAAAAGAAACATGATTTAATTCTCTATACCGATGCTTCTAAAACTACCACTGTTGACTGTGCAGTAACTACTAAACATGAACTTGTAAGATCATCTCGGTTACTCTTAAGATGCAGCATTTACACAGGTGAACTATATAACATTCTGTTGGCTTTTAAATGTCTCTTCCATTAAAACAGACATATTGCCATTTGTTCAGATTTCCTTTCATTTATCCATTCAGGCAATACTATTTCACTGACCACCCATTACTTCAAAACATTCATGACATATACCAGAAACCTCTGTGCTCACGATGTAACAGTCTCTCTCATATGGCTGCCTTCTCATACTGGAATTACTGGTAATGAAACAGCAGATCATTTTGCCAAAGAAGCTACCAACCATAGTACTGGAGTCAACCCAATTCAACTAGCTAACGATCTCAAACTTGTTTCCAAAAAGTCAGTAGCGGATACTTACCAGAAGATTTAACCTAATAGACATTAGTTAAAGTAATATAATTATTATTTGTTTTCATTTATTATATATTTAATATTATTGTTCCTGTACCAATGGCCATAGTTGTCGAGGTATAGTAGCCTCGTATTTCCGTGAGACTGTGTAAAAATATATGTATCTGTAATAAAATCATTCAACAAAAAAGGTACTCTACCAGGAGTCTGTAAAATTTATCAATGACTCAGACGTATAATAATACAAAGTTTCCAGATTCCACTCAATATTAAACATTCAGACGTGCCTGGTATAATCTTTTAAAATATGAACCAGATATCAACAATCAACCAATTAAGTTTTCATCGAACTTATGACAAGTCCACGTGGACTAACGGCCAATGAAAACATCGGATATCGCTGTTAGGACAAATCATAACATAATGCATTATCTTTTGTCGGTATACTTATTCATACTTGGGGTAAGATTATATCAGTATTTGACTGAGCTTACGGAGTCATAAAATAAGGGATCAGGTTTCGACCGTCCAGTGCCGAAGGCACGGGACGGGGAAAACTTAGGTAGGCAAATTTTTATAATATTCTATTTTAAATTGCGGATATGAACAACAGATTTTTGGGAGACAAGAATATTTTAGTAAAATCATAACTGCTACAGCGTTCAGTTAAATTCAAATTTCAAATAGTGAACCGCAAGTTAGTTTGGTAGTGACTTTTTTCAGTGTTCTTTATACGGAAAACATTTTATATTTTACGTTTTTTACTTTTTTGGAATGGAACCCTCTAATCGATTGGAAGATTTACAAAGGTGTGTGTAGTAAACCGTAAGCGACATTTTCAATACCTATCTGATGATGCCAAACGTTATGCTAAAAAATGTTTATGAAGGACTGTGTGCTGAATTGTCTAAATCAGAGGCAATTGCAGAAACATGTTTTTTAACCAGAGTGCCCAAAGCAACCTGCTACAAAATTATAGGAGAAACATCTTCTTCTAGACATAAGAGAAAGGATTGTGGCAAATTCAGAAAAATAGAACCGCACTTAATTGAATCTATAACTAGAACAATGTACCAAATGTATGCGGCTAATATTTTTCCAACAACTATTGAAAGCCTTCGAAGTGAATTAGTTCGAAAGTGCATTCTCTCGTGTTCAGCAACAACACTTCGATTATTTCTTTAAATGCCAATAATTTTAAGTACAAAACTATAGACAAGAGACAGACATTGATGGAAAGTACTAGAATAATTTCTTTAAGAAACAATTATATTAGACAGATAACTGAGTATCGAAAAATGAAACGAATATTGTTTATTTAGATGAGACCTGGTATGATACTCATGACCACCGTGAAAAAAAGTTGGACAAATAATAACAAAAAGTGTTTCAACTCAGTACCGCCCAATAAAAGAAAGAGGATTATAATTTTACACTGCGGTGGAGAAAATGGATGGGTCGGACGATGCATTATTAATATCTGCAAAACAAATTAAAAACGCGTCTCTGGATTATCATGACGATATGGAAAGTTCAATTTTTGAATCATGGTTTAAAAAATGTCTTCTTCCGAAATTACTTAAAGATAGTGTGATTATCATGGACAACGCATCATATCATTCAAGATTAATGAAAAAAACTTCAAATAATAGTTGGAATAATTAAATATTCAGTAATTTTTATTTACGGAAGATTTGTATTTTAAGACATCTTATATTAAAAAGCAATTGTTGGAGGTTGTAAATTAATTACTATTAAACTGGGAATAAGCCACAATTAAAGATAAAAATACGTTTATTGACGTTTCAATTTCCACTTCGGAAATCGTTCTCAAAATACAAACGAGAACGATTTTGTATGCTCTTGTTACACGTCCACGTCTGGGCACCATGATGTCAGAACAGGTAGGACGCATGCGTTAAATACCTTCGTTCTTAATTTTAAAGGTATTTTTTGGTTTTTGATAGTATATGAGAGTTTTCCGAATGCAGCCCCACTCCATTCTTATTCTTCTGGTTATTTCTTTAGTCTGGTTACTTCTGTCTGCTCTGATAGCTTGTCCTAAGTAAATATATTCTTGGACGTGTTCCATGTTTGTTCCACCTATGGTAATTACTAATCTGTCTTCTGTATTAGTCATTATTTTAGTTTTCTTTAGATTCATTTTTAGTCCTTCTCAAGAGATGTTTTTTCTAGGTCTGAAGTCATTATTCGTAGTTGTTTCCATAGTTGTTGCTATCAGGAGTACTTCATCGGGGAATCTTAGATGATTTAAATATTTCCCGTTTATACAAATCCCTTTATTGTCCCAGTCTATAGATTTAAAAAATTTTAACATCTTTTATCAACGTCTGTTTGCCTTGCAATTTTTAGAAGGCTCAGATTATAAAGCAGAAATCTGAATTGTGTTTCGAAACTATTTTACGATTGTTGTAATTAGATGTCGCTAGTACGTCCGTATTGAAGCCATGTTATTGTTGCTTCTTAAAAGGCAGAAAATTTCACGTTGAGAACCCCTATGAATAGCTCTTCTGACGAGGCCTATTAGGTCGAAATACGTATCAAGAGATACATAGGATTTGTTTGCGTGAAATCAAATATTTGCTGGCTTTTCTCAATTTAAAAATTTCTTCTAACGCCAGAGTAAATAGTTTTGGGTGAGATTGTATCCCCTTGTCTGACACCTCCACAAATTCTAATTAATGAAGTTTGCAAATCTCTGTCTAGCTGAATTCTCAGTGGCGTTTTAATATATATTGTGGATTAACTGTATGTACCGTGAATCACTGCTGTCGAGGTACTTTATGTAAATAAAAAAAATTATTTTATGTAGGGCTACCTTCTCTTGTGAAATTTAGCTCTTATATAAATGTTGTTTTGGAATATTTTGTTAAGGAGTTTAGTTAAGGCATTTTTAAGCCTTTTATTATCATCCTCTTAAAATAACCAATGGAATTTAATGACAAATTTCATAAGACGGTTCTGAAACAGGAAAAGGAAAAAAGGAAGTAGAAAAAAGACAGTGTGGTCTGAGGAACTGGGAGAGGGGAACAGTGGAAACAAGACTGTTTAACAAATAACACCAACATTTAGCAGTAACTAACATTTCGCACAAACGTCACTGCCGATGCAGAGACTAATGCCGCCCTTCGGATCAGTTCGCTGGTCGGAGGAGTCAGGTGACTTGATGCAAAAATACATCGTTTCACGCACCTTACAGAATCTTAACATAATTGATGTATGTTGCAACAAAAATTAATAAATTTTAATATTAGGATATTATAGGATGTCTGGTTGAAATTCTCAACTGAGCACTACGAGAGAAAAGGTAATACGACACATATTAGTAAAATAGCTTTATATTTTACTCAAAATAAGAAACAATAATAAAAGCAAAGTGCAAAATTAGAGGCAAAATAGATTTTGATGATGAAATATTGCTCATGCTATTCCAGTTTGATTTTTTAGTAGATCATACATGTACAGTTGCGGTCACGGATAGTTTTACACCTTACTTATTTACTATTGTAATACTGTAAAATTGCAGTGTCGTACGGATTTGATAAATGTCAAAGTCAAAAAATTTCAAAACGTCAATGCTTTCGCGAGTGTTCAACAATAAAATAAAAGTATATTAAAACTCTTCCAAAATGGTTAGAATACATTTGAATTATGCGCAAGAAGCAAGAGCAATTGCCAAACTCGAAGAAGGTTGGTCACTAAGGCAAGTTGCTGCTGATTTGAACGTGAGTCATATGTGCATATGGAAGATTAAACAAAGATGGGATAATTTTCACTCTATAGCACGGTTGGGCGGTTCAGGAGGGCAGAAGATTTCCACAGATCAACAGGATGAGATGTTAGTAGATTATTTGAGAGAATCTCCTTTTGCCACAGCTCAAAAGGCAAGAGAAGAGGCAGCGTTTCCAGGCAGTATTCGCACTGCACGTCGAAGAATTAAAGCAAGTGGACTGCTAAATTGTGTAGCTGCACGGAAACCTTTTTTGACTGAGGATCACAAGAGGAGACGAGTTGAATTTTGTAATGAATTTATAAACCGCGATGAGAATTTTTGGTCTAGGGTTGTATTTTCCGATGAAAAAGTATTTCAGTCGTATAATAATGGTCGAATAAGAGTTTATAGGCCGAGAAATCATAGGTATGATGAACAGTATACGCATCATTTAAGAAATAGTGGAGGATTCTCTGTCAACGTATGGGGATGGATAAGTGCCGAAGGCCCGGGCGTTTGTTATCATGTAGAGGAGAAGTTAACAGGATTATATTACAAACATATTATTGAGCACACAATGTTGCCATCGGTGATCCAGAGATTCCCCAACAACGACTTTATCTTCCAACATGACAATTGCCCGGTGCATACGAGTAGAATTGTTCGAGAATGGCTAGAAGAAACTGATGTTAATGTTCTTCCGTGGCCTTCCCGTAGTGCAGACTTTAACCCCGTCGAAAATGTGTGGGCAGAGTTAACAAAGAAACTAAATGAAAGAAACCTTAGACCACGGAATAGAATTGAATTATGGGAAGCAATTGAGCAGGCATGGGAAGAGCTTGTTAACTATAACATGAGGGGATTGGTGCTATCTATGAACAGAAGACTGCAAAATTGTATTGACAAGAATGGGGCTTCCACCAAATATTAATTATTATTTATCATTGTTTACCGTTATTTAATATAAAATAGATTTAAAATAAAATGCATATTAAAAAAAAAAGACTTCTTTATTTTCGTTATTAAGATCATAATCCATTTTATTCAAAAAAACTGTTTTCTATATTTTTCATTTTGTAAAATATTTTGATATTTTAATTTTAATCTACCTATTCTAGCTAGTACACCACTGGCAACGTCACTTTGACGTAAAAGGTGCGTTTAAACGAAGTAAAAATTTAAAAAATGGGCTCCTAGATACGTGAACCTGTAAACTATTCCGTGACCGCAACTGTACCTTGCTTAAACTTAGATATCGTTGCAATTTATTTTGTGATTTTTATTACAACTAATTTGTTTTTTTTTTTTTTTCATTTATAGAAACAGACTGCATTTTACACGGGTATGTTAAAAAATTAGGAGGACCATGGACGTCCAGCTGGCAAATGAGGTACGCTAAGTTGTACCCCAATAGGTTAGAACTTCATCCAGACTCAGCAAAACCAGAGTTAGTATTTATGGACCAGATCGAAGAAGTTAGTCCCGATTTGGTGCAAGTCAAAAATGAAAATTGTATTGTAATCAGGCTTCGTGATGGAAAAGTAGTTCTTACAAATCCCGTAAGTAGATTAAACAGCATACAATAACTATACTAACTTAACCTACTATTGAACGTATTAAATATTTAAAATAACATTTCGGTCAGTATCACTGAATTTTTTAAAATATCTTAAATCTGTCTCAAAGTATATCGTCGTGGATTTTTCCCTTCTGACATGATTTATTTACATCTAATATTGCTTTATTATTAACTGTTCTTCCAAAACATATATATCTACCCATTTCGATAAACAATTAAAGAGTCTTTAATTATTTATTGAAATGGTTGACAGATTTTAAATTTCTTTTGAGTAGTATTTGAGTAGTACTTGAGTAGACACAACACATATGCAACACACAATTACAAATCTAATTTTGCTCAATTTACATTACTCAACCATAATTACGATACAGTTTTTTACCCAAACATATAACACAAAATACACAAAACGGTCAGAATTTGATATTCCTAGGGTAACAAATACCACCCTCGAAATGTTTTCAGTCATTACATGATATAACCAATAACAAAAGCTTTGGTTATACATTTCCCAGCATTTGTATAGTAATCTTTTTTTGAAAACCACACTCACGATTGAGTCTCTAAAATTTTAGAACACACTAAATTTTTACCCAAATTTACCATAAAAAATACAATAGAACTAGTTAATAAAATACAACATATTCAATTACCTACCTAACAACTCCAGGTTAATTTCATTTGACGTAAAAAATCTTTTTCCTAGTATCCCTCTTACAGAAACTTTTATTCTAATAAAAAACCTTTTAGACCAAAATAGTACAAATCCAATAATTACGTCTGAAATTGTACATCTTCTTGAAGTTTGGATAAACCAGGACTACTTTGAATTGAATAATCAAATATATACAAATAAAGTGCAGGACTTATAATGGGCAATCCTCTAAGTCCATTGCTATCAGATATTTTTATGGATCATCTAGAGACAAAGATTTCAGAACATCCCGTATTTAAACAGTTTTTTTTATTGGTGGAGATGTGTAGACGACGTACTGGTATGTTTCACTAACAAGCAACTTGATAAATTTTTATCGTATATTAATTCACTTCATAGTCATATTGAATTTACAATAGAAAACAGAACAAAATAAATCCATAAATTTTTTAGATTTAAAAATTATCAGACTTAAAAACAAACATGACTTCTCCATATTTCATAAACCTACCCATACTGACACGACTATACACAATTCATCATCCCATCCAACACAACTTAAACTGGCAGCCTATCACAGTATGTTACATAGATTAACAGAAACTCCGATGTCAAAATACAACTTTGAGACAGAATTAAAGATCATTAAGTAAATAGCAGTAAACAGCGTATAAAGCGAACAAACAATTAATAAAATTTTAAATCAAAAACTACACAAGAAAGCCCTGAAATTAGTATTTCCACCACCAGAGAAAAAACCTAATACCTTCTGCTCGATTAAATATACAGGCAAAATATCAACAAAAATAGCCAAACACATAAACAAGAAAGAATAACACCAGCTTTCCGAACAAATAACAACGTAGCCAAATATATCAAAAACAACAAGAGCCAAAATAAAAAACACTTACACAGTGGTGTGTACAAACTTAAATGTGACGACTGCCCAAAAACTTACATCGGTCAAACTGGCAGAAACTTTAATAAACGAATAGCAGAACATAAAAGGGCTTTCAATAATAGAAAAACAGATTCTACATACACACTTCTCCTTCTAGATCACAATCATTCTTTTAATGACGAATTTAAAATTCTTCACATTCAAAATAAAGGCTAACAAATTAAAAAACACAGATATAATTCTGAATAACCAACTTGAGACAAACAGTTCTCCCCTCCTCAACCTATTTCATTAAAGACTATAAAGTGTAAACGCATGCCAAAAATAGATCACTTGAGAAAGGCAATCAGCCAAAACAGCTATAGTGATAAGAGGTTAAAATAAATTTTGTAGAAGTTTGAAAACAAAATTTTCAGTGTTTTATTGTCAGATAAAAATTTAGTTTTGTGAACATTGAACAGGAGCGACTGATTACTTGACCAATCAGAGGTCTTCAGTGGGTTTGTTATTTTATCTTTAACATTACATATGGTAGTTCATTAATATACAAAATAAATAATATCCAATATGGAGCCCTGTGGTATTCCATTCTTATTAACAATTTGATCAGACATTGAAATCTTGAAGTTATTTTTCACTCTAACTGTTTGGTGCCGGTCTTCAGATAGGAAGCAAACCAACTATGGGCAACTCCCCCAACACCATATCTGTACAATCTATCGAGGGGTACATCGTGTTGTACACAATCAAAAGCACGACTGAGGTCACAAAAAATGGCAGTTGGATTTTCACTGTTTTCAATTGAGATTAAGACTTCCTCATAGAAACTGTTAATGGCTGCGGAAGTAGAAAATTTATTTCGAAATCAATGTTGATGCTTTGTGATAATTTGGTTGATATCTAAAAATCATAAAAGTTGTTTTAGCATTGCATATTCGATAATCTTAGATATCACAGATGGAACAGATAATGGTCGAAAATTTGACGTTAATTCAGGATCACCTTGATCCTGAAAAACATTTATAATGTGAGCAAGTGGTGTCAAAATCTGAGACGCAATTTTCTTAATTATTATACCTGATATTTCATCAAAACCACACGATGCTTTGTTTTTAATTTTTTAAATCGACACTTCTTTTTTATTTCAATTGATTAAGCGATAACTCTATACAACGGACAACTCTACATAACGGACAAATATTTCCCCGTTGGTGTCCGTTATGGAGAAGTTTCACTGTAATTGAAAAATACCTACTCAGTGTAGAATGCAATTCGACCAGACAGAGATTTTTTCGAATTTTTGTATATTTATTAATCATATAAAAGGCTATAAAACTTGATATTTATTTTTTTAATATTGGTTCTTTGTTCTTAGGATGAAATAGGCCTAAAAGAATGGCTTACATCACTGAAATCAGCGCACAAACTGTCGCAGGAGTTGCTGGGATCGATGGCGAAAAAAGCGGGCAAGATCTACGGCACCGACAGTAACAACAGAAATGCCATTATAACAGCCCGTAACACGAACGGCAACTAACAACAAATTATTATAAATAAAAATGAAAATAAATCTTTCACTCCGGTTAGATGTAACAAAAAATCGGGCTATATAGGATTGAACCTAGAAGATAAAACACCGACACAATTCTTTTAGGCACTATCGTTTTTGCGTGATAGAAAGATCCGTTTTTAATAGAAAGGGGATGAAACATGACAATTTTGAAACATAATTTGATGTATTTCGTTATACGTATTTATATATTATTTATGCATTTTCTTCTTAGGGACTTCTGCTTGTGAATGAGTGTATGAACGGATGTGCGAGAGTTTGATTATGATGTATACCTATTATTTGAAAGAAAAGCTGTTCTGTAATAGCCGTCAAAGCTCTGCTCACTAGACTATTTTTTTCTAGATACATGTTAAACGTGTCTATGTTTTCTTGATACGCTCACTAACTACATATTTATATAGTTTACAGCCAGTTTATAACAAATGTTTAGTTATGTTGATATGTTTGTTATTTACACTGTGTATTTTTTTGATACATGAAGCATTTAAAATAAGGACATGTCTCGAGAACAAGCAAACAAGTAGGTGTGTGCGTCAAACAATCACTCAAACGGTACAGGAATAAGAAAGAGAAAGAGATTTATTTTTTTATAACAAAATAGTTATAGTAAACGTGTCAAATTGTAGACGAATTGTCAATTTTTATGTCATAGTTTTTAACATTGATTATCGTAACCAATTGGCAAATTATGATCATTTTGTTATCTCATCTAAACTGATATTCAGTCGATCCGCCGGATCTTTGCACATATCGTCATCATTCCTATTATAGGAAATAAATCAAAACATGTGAGTCAAACGTATGTCGGCTATAAAAATTATTATAAAAATTAGAAAATGGCTAATATTACAATTGGCGTTTTTATACTTCTCTTTTATTTCATTTATTTCATTTTAAAAACTGGGTACCTATACATTTATGAACGTGATTTTCCAAGTTGTCCAATAACATCTACAGCAAATAAATATTTAAACCATAGTAATCAGAAATTAAAGTATTTTTATTGAATATAAGCATAATATTTCATATTGCCCGTTGACGGAGTTTTAGCTATATTTAAATAATTAATGTCAATTTAGAGGTTAAAAAAAATATATTATTCGTTATTAGCTAATACATTAATTCTTACCTTAATAATTGAACATGAAGGTAAGGGTTAGTCGTCACAACAACTGTTTGTTAAAAAATATGTATATTTAAAGTATGAAAAAGGATTGATTATTTAAATCAAACGAAAATAATTTATAAAAATATTACAAACTCTGTCAAAACAAAATTTCCAATTGACATGTCAATTGTCAGTAGACGAATCAATCAACGATCATTGTTCTATGGCTGTCTTTGTTCAATGCATGGTGTTGTGTATGGACAGGCGGTTTAAGTTAATAGTTTTAGTTTCTGTGAGTAGAAAAGAGACGTAGCATAAAAAATATATCGTGAATAATGTCATGTATGTGCAAAGATCTGGCGGAACGATTGTATGTACGTTGCTTAATATGTAAGTTAAGGGGTAAAGACAAGTTAAAATATAGATAGTTTAAAAGGTAGATAAATTAAAATCATAATAACATTTTTACCATAATCTTCATGTTTTTGTAATTGTTATAGTGCGTGTTAGTGGTAAAATGTTAAGTAATGTACAGGGTGTTAAGTTTCTTAATCTACATAACAACATTCATAATGCGTGTTACGACCTATGCAGCATCAATTGCTTTCTTATTTAATTTGTAAGAATTAAACGCATCCTAAAACTCGTATTTGTTTAAGAGATACATTTTTTTAAATAGGGGAGTGTAGTACACAATGTGACAATTTTATTTCTGAAATTGACATTTTTAAATTCGTCTACAAACTGAGTTAACCAGGCTTCATTATGATTATTTCCTCAATATAATCTGAAATAAATATTCCCTCATGAATAAACAAACAAAATCTATGATTATTTTTCTAATCGTCTACACCTGTCTCATTGTGTACCATTGGTGTCTCATTGTGTACCATTGGTGGTACACAATGAGACAGATGTACCATTGGTGGTACACAATGAGTCAAGTAGTTATACATCATCATCATCCAGCCTCAAGAGTCCACTGCTGAACATTGGCCTCTTCCTCATGTTTCCAACCCCGTCTATCTTGCGCCGCTCTTATCCAGTTTTTATTGAGTTTTCTTAAATCATCAGTCCATCTTGTAGGTGGTCGACCGACGCTTCTCTTGTCTTCCCTTGGCCTCCATTCCAATAACCTCTTTGTCCATCGCTCATCTGTCATTCTGGCTATGTGTCCTGATGTCTTCATTGGTTATTCTGTCTCGCAGAGTTATTCCTAACATGGACCGCTCCATTCTTCTCTGCGTGACTCTCAGTTTGGTAGCTGCCGCTTTTGTTAAGGTAAGTGTTTCTGCTCCGTACGTCAAGACTGGGAGGACGCACTGATCAAATACCTTTCACTTTAGGCATGTGGGCAGCTCACTTTTAAAAGTTTCGCTCAGTTTTCTAAATGCTGCCCACCCAAGGCCGATTCTTCTCTTCAGTTCATGAGTCTGGTTATCCCTGCCAATCATAATTTCATGTCCCAGGTATTTATATCTGTCTACGAGTTCTATTTCTTTCCCACCAATACTGATGTTCTGGTTGGGTACCAAATTGGTCATGATTTTTGTTTTCGAGATATTTATATTTAAGCCTACATTTTCTGTAGCCACAACGAGTTCATGTAGATCTTCAGCTATTATAAGTATATCATCGGCGAAACGTAAGTTGTTTAGATATTCTCCATCTATTTTTTATTCCCTTTGTCATCCAATCCAAATTATTAAAAGCATGTTCTAGCACCGTATTAAAAAGTTTAGGTGACATTGGGTCTCCTTGTCTAACCCCCTCGAAAAGGGCTTGGTGCTCGAGAAGCTCTCTTCGGTTTGAATGTTCTCACACAAAGATGCCTAGACATTAATCAGGAGGTACATACGTGTTTTATCGATTTTGAAAAAGCGTTTGACAGAGTACGCCACGATAAGCTTAGAGAGATTCTTGAAAGGAAGGACATAGATAATAAAGATCTGCGAATAATTCTTAATCTATAGTGGAATCAGAAAGCTAACATCAAAATAGAAACTGAAACATCACAAGCAATAGAAATACGTAGAGGAGTACGACAGGGTTGCATTTTGTCACCTCTGTTATTTAATGTATATAGTGAAAGCATCTGTCAGGAAGCCCTTTTACAAGCAAACGGAGGAATCGTAATTAATGGAGAGATTGTAAATAATATTCGATACGCGGACGACACTGTACTAGTTGCAAGAACAGTAGAAGAATTACAAAGATTACTTACAGACATAAATATTGCTTGCAACAATTATGGTATAAATATCAATATTAAAAAAACCAAGTATATGGTCTTCAGTAAAAACATGACACAACCAGCGTATATTAGTATAAACGGCACTCAAGTTGAAAAAGTATCAAGTTACAAATACTTGGGAACTTTGATAGACGAAACTGGAGACCAAAACAGTGAAATAAAAAGACGTATCGAAATTGCCAGGGCCACCTTCATAAAGATGAGAAAATTCTTCTGCAACAGAAATATAAGCATCCCTCTACGATTAAGAATGCTGAGAGGCTATGTATTTAACACGCTATTATACGGTGTAGAGGCCTGGGCTCTCAAACAGAACAACATGAAAAATATTGAAAGTTTCGAGATGTGGTGCTACCGTCGAATGCTGAAGATTAGTTGGGTTGAAAGAATAACAAACTGTGAAGTAATACGAAGAATAGGAAAAGACCCAGAGATTTTGTTAACGCTAAAGCGAAGAAAACTCGAATATACTTCTTGATTACTTCTTGGGGATACTTCTTGATTTTCAGGTGTCTTCGATGAGGATGATATAACTTTATTGGAAAGCACACTAAACATTTCTGTAAACTCTGATTGTGGATTTGGCTGTTCAGTTTCATTTGGTCTATCAGTCACAGAACTGCCAATAAAGTCAGCTTCAGAAAAAATGTATCTATTAAGGGGAAAAATTCACGTTTTATTAAAACCTGACAGAATATTGGTATGTTTTAATGCTTTCATATATGCCTCTTCTACACATTGTGCTATCTGATATATCGAAATAGGTTTACCAGGATGGTTCAGCAGCCATGAGTCTGTAGCGGCATTGTAATACTCTTTAAAGTGAGAGAAAATTGAAGCATCAAGGGGTTGCAGTTTGTTACTACAATGTGGAGGTAGAGTCGGTATGAATACACCATTATCTTTTGCCAGTTGAACAACTTGATATGTTACATGACTCTCATGATTGTCGTAGATCAGTATGGAAGGGTTTTCAATTCAACTGTTGCTAAACTGAATGAAATGTTTCATAACGTCGACAAACAGCTCTGTATTCATCCATCCACTTGGATTTGCCAAACCCAGTGTGCCAGGTGGAACTCCTTGTGTTATATGCTCCTTATAATATTTCCTTGGAAAACTCATAACAGGAGGCAGAAACACCATTCGCACATACAATAGTAATAAGAATACCCCTTTCACTGCTGGTACAACTATTCAGCTGTTTTACACCTTTCTCTGTTACTGTTATATATCCTGATAGTAGACAGAGCTGATAGATATCTAGAATAAACGGCATGTAAATTTCGAAGAACCTGTAGACATTGTGTAGATTTAATGATGTTAATCTTGATAAACTGCAACCCTCTGGTTGACGTAGGTCAACCCACGTAGGTTCCCATACCGATTTAAAAATGAACGGAACCATTGGAGTCCAGCTATTTTATCTTTGATCCAATTCGCTGGAACTGCAATATTGTTTTTAATCACCATATCATATGCTACCTTTCCTGCTTTAATGGTTATTAATCCGTAGCTCATTTTGCTACAAGTTTTGATATAGTCACACAAAAAAATTTCCTGCTCCTCTGAAAATGTCGTACAGCATAATTGGGTTCCATT